TTCCAGCGCACGGTCCATTCTCAAAGTGGCGCAACCAAAAAACTATAATTAGCACATGATGGTTCATGTCCGCACATGTTTCTCTACTTTCTGTCTTATTTGTGCCTGAAGCGCGCTACTGCGGAGCTCATCACCTGTGCTGCGGTGATTTCACCTCACGCAGCATCGAAACGCGCTCTCCGCTTTGCGGTCAGGAGATCTTTGATCTGCTCAAAAGTAACTGATGAGGAGAAAAAGTAAGAATCCAGGCAGCAGATTTTCTGGAGAGTTTAGAGGAGATGCAGGAAGATGAGAGACAGACAGGACAGGAAATAGTTAAATAAAAACAAGAAAACAAAACTAAGTGTTGAAAAGTAAAATGTAGGTAGATTTATCTCCACGACACGTTTTTACCTGTATAAAACATTAAGTTACACACATGTAATATTTATACATCTGATACAATTCAGATCACCTTCAAAACTCAGTCACACACCCAGGGCCGTTTCAAGACATTTGACAAAACCATCTGAAAGCCACTATTTGTGGATTCTCTGAAAGTTTCCATGGAGTGTGGGACAACTTATTTTTTCATTGATCCTATCGTCTAATCTCACAGCTGAAACAAGCATCCTTAATCATCTGTGCACAGGAAGCTTACCGATTGTGACAGCAGTGTCTGTCACCTCATGGACATGGTCTGCTGGTGGTGTTTTCTGTGTTCTGTCCAGGATGACTGGTTGATGTGCACACAATCAGTCTTCTGTTTATGAATGCATGTGTTAATGTTGTACTTCTATTTGAGTTACCAGTGACTGGGAGTTTCCCATGGAGTCTCACACCTGCAGCTCATCTCCTCAGGAAGCCTAATCGGCACTCCTGGGATCTACCAACTCCCAAGGGAGGGGAGATTCATGTTTATACTTGTGTCAAATTTAATGTAGATGTTTTCTGTAATGTAAAGGAAGTTTGTAATTATGATTTAGTTATTTGAGTTACCTGAATTGATTAGACTGGTTGGTTTGTGTGTGTGAGGATGTGTGTGTTAATTGTATGTTAATTGTTCCCCTCTTGTATGTAGAGTGGTCTGATCAGCCACTATTTAAGTTGAACCTGGTGTGTCTGAAATGTCTTTTGTTTTCTGGAGATGGTCTTGTGCTGTGATTGGGTTAAAGTTTCTGTTACCTGTGAAGCTGCTCCAAAATAAAATGGAGGTTTTTGAGTCTCATGAGTAGTGCGTCTCTGGCTGGTTTGGGCAAGTCCCTGACACCGATGCTGTAGTAAAACAAAAGGTATAATAATTTATTATTAATAAAACCTTGTTGCCGCACTAAAGCAGAAAAATGAGATTTTGCAGTAAATATGCTAAATATTTACATATGAATTGTTTTAGAGCCCTTTTATTGGCAGAATCTGATATTAATTTAGTTCTTGCAAAAAATGGGTCCCAGCGTGGTTTGTGTGGCGTTGCCATAGTGTGACGTCATAGGCACAGATCCCCTGTCCTCTTGTTTGGAAATGGAAATATGATCACCCTATGTTAAAGAAACTGTCCACCCGGGCTTTTGCGCTGCACAGAGACGCTTCGCTGCCTACGACTGAACGTCAGTTGAGAGTCAGTCTCATGCAGACTGACCAATGAAGAGAGGGCCTCAAGTTAAGACCCTCTCCTCATTGGTCAGTCCACACGAGGTGGGTCAAAGGTTACTCTGGGCGGGTTACGTGTTGTCAGGCATTCAAGTATTGAGTATATTTACTGCATATTACAGTAAAATATTTTGTATGTGACCACATAACGGTGATCCTTGGGTCGTGATGATGGGGCCCTTTAGAATTGTTGCCCAGGGTACAACAAAGTGTTAATCCGGCCCTGACTGGGAGGAACTCATTGAAGTTAACAAACACAGGGGACTAACAAAAGGAAAATTAACTAACTAGACAGGGAGAGCCTGACAGAGGGAGAGTGATGCAAAGCTGAATGCACAGAGGTCAAAGGTCAAGGACACACCTGGAGGACAAAGACAGACAGAATAAAACTGAAAAAGAGGCAAAGGGGCCTGAAGGAGAAGACATGAACCCAAGGCAGATGACTAACTGGGATGAATGTGAAAACTGAATCATATCATTTGAGAGACTGGCGCACGGCACATGGGCGACTGAGAACTAGAATTAAGCTGATAATAAAGGAGCCAGAACACGGGAAACAGAGTGAGACGTGGAAGGGGATGGGAGGGAAAGGACACAGGAGGAAATGATCTGGTTGAAAAACTTGTTTTTCCGTTTTCAGTCTTTAACTGGTGGGAAAAAGAGAAAAACACACTGCAGTGTGGAGTGTGTTTTTCAGACATGAAACTCCTATTTCAGCGGGAACTCTTGATACACAACCTAACTGCAGACAGCCCACAACACTTATGAAATCTAACGGACTGGGTTTTAGCAGCAGAGTATTCAGACTCTCAAAAACCTGTTAATGCTCATTTAAGCGTTGACAATCTGCACAGTACAAGTACATTTCTCATTAAACCACAAGTGTCCAATTGGAACTGAAATAGACTTGAAAATGAGGTGATAGCAGAAACACCAACCTTGAGTCTGAACTTGTGAACCATCTGGATGCTGCAAAAAAAAAAAAAAGATTTTCATATAGAAGCAGTGCCTTCTTTTGAAGCGAATTGAAACGGGACTGGAAACCCTGAAATGTTTCTATCCTGCAGATGTTTGCTTGTTGTTTGAGGACTGGAGCAAAGTGGTGCAAACTTTAGGCTCACATAAAAAAAACAACATTTCCAAGTGGTTGTGATCTTTAACGTATGGACGTATGAATGTTACAACCCAATGCTCTCTGCTTTCATCCAAATGATAGTAAATCCAAACCAGTTTGGGCTTTCCAACATGTCAATTGGCTTTCTCAGCAGAGTTTAGGGGGTATAAGGGAGGGATAAGCCTTTTTCCACAGGATCAGGTCAGGAAATCCTCTCAGGCAACATCAGTTGCTTCAGAGAAGATAAGATTGTTTCTAGCACAGCTCTGGAGAGTTTATTAGGATGTCTTAAACAGCCTTAACTGGGGCTGAGGGCCTCGGCCGTGGACTAACTGAGTCAAAGCAGTCTTCTGTCTCTCAGCTCACCTAATAACCCTGTCATCAGGCTGAAGGCTTTGCGTGCGTAAGGCTCGGGCGTCCCTGCTGTTGTTTGCTTTGTTTGTTCTTTCTGGGCCAGAGTAGAGGATGAGGTCATCTGTCAATCCTCGTTACTCTCTAATTGGTTCAGATCTCTGACATCTGAAGGTCATGGTGTTAGTGTGTTTATTTTACTGCATAGTCGCTGCACTGCACATTTTTAACATTAAACACGTGAACCCGGAGGATTTTCATTTCTACCTGCTCTCCTTTTTAATTCACACAACTTCTGAAGTGCTGAAAAGCTGATTGTGAAAGTGTGATGAGAGGAAAAGGAGATAAGCAAAACCGGTTTGGAGGAAGCATCTCTGTGCAGATGGTTCATGTCAGGGAAACAGAAGTTTAGGCTGCTTATTCTGAGCATTCGTCTTGGTACGTGAACGGTGTGTTGCTAAGTTCAGTGGGAGGGCATGTGGGTCACCCAAAATAGACAAAAGTTAGATCTTGTTGCATTAGTTACCACCAAGTACAGCACTCTGGTGTAGTGGTGTGCGTCCTGATGCAGGGCTCCTTTCTTCTCCTGTCTAGATTTTATGAGCTGAGTGCTGTTGCTGTCATCTGTTTAGATTAGAGTCTTAACGGGGTTCGGTTGCTATAACTGCAGTGTGGATGTAGCTTAGAGGGTTGTTGGACCATAGAATGCACTGTTTCAAATACACACACACACACACACACACACACACACACACACACGCACACGCACACACGCACACACGCACGCACGCACGCACACGCACACGCACACACACACACACACACACCACCTCTCCTGGTTAGTGGTAACATTTTGTGTCCGTGCCACATAACATCAGATTTAATGGAACCTTGTGCTCTGATGTCAGCAGAAGGTCATGTGACCAAATTAAAAAGGCCCATGAATCAGCTGTTTGTTCATAACGTACAAAGGGTCAGAGTGAAACTGCTTCATAATTATTCCCAATCACCTGTGTAATTTTCCAAAATGCTAATGTGCAGTGCACATAAACAAACGTTATCAGTAGATTTCAGGATCTATAAAAGTTGATCATTTACTCAGGTTGTGGACCAGCAGCCGCTGAAAGTGGGTTATTATGATTTTCAAAGTCACCAAAAGTTTGCCTCATGTGTTCATGTGAACGCCTCCTTTGGGCACAAGGTCAAAGGCCTTAGGGCTCAATTCACCCCTGAGCTAGAAGATAAACAGGATTCCCCCGGAGCTGTCATGTCTCTCAGAGTTTCCCCAGAAACAACTCTGCCTCCTTCGTCCTAGTCTCTTATGTCATCATTCACTGAAATAAAGTGTGTGTGTGTGTGTGTGTGAGAGAGAGAGAGTGAGAGAGAGAGAGAGAGAGAGAGAGAGAGAGAGAGAGAGAGAGGAATCTTTGAAGAATAAGGTCATGACCACATGACCACGGTCACCAATTCTTGTCATGTGTCTTTGCCCATGTATGTCTGATCTCAGAATTGTGTGTACTGAAACTCTAATTTCCCTCTGGCATTAATAAAGTATCTTTGAATTTGAATTTGAATTGAATGATGAACTGCCAAAGGCAGAACTACTCAGCCACATTTGTAATGAAGAGAAGTGTGAAGGAAAAGTTGAGCTAGTTCTTCAGAAGCAACCCACTGAGCTGAGGTTTGCACCTTTACCTCATGGTAAAGGAGCATAAAGATTGTTACACGCCTATATTCTGTTGTCTTTTTGTTTTATGTTTCATGTCACAAAGATAGACATTAAGCGATAAAACCAGTGACGTGTCCAAGCGTGCTTTCCTGTCGACATCTTTTATTGTAAAAGGTCAAACCGGAAGTGCTTAATGGCTCCGTGTAACTTGACGCCGTTGATAATCGGAGCGTCTCTAGCTGAGCGCGCACACGCTGGCAGCTGGTGATGGGAGACGCACTGCGTCGCGCGCAGGTTGCTGCTCAACTAGAAACGTTCAGTTTGACTTCTTTTCTTTTAGATGTGTGATTAATTACAGGATTGTAAAACCATACAACGTTTATCAGTCTTTTTGGAAGAAGAAACGGAACAGTCTTTTCTCCCACTCTTTAAAATGTTGGTGTAATGTTTTTGTTTGGGGAAGTTGCGCGACGCTGAGGATTAGAGCCATGATGCCAAGCAGGGAGTAAAGTGGTTTGTTTCCTCAAAATGCCTTAAAACTGGAATCCAACTTTCCCTGGAGTTCTTATGGAATACAGCCCGGCTTTACTCAGCTCTCATGTTGTGCCATCATCCCACGCGAAGAACAAACTCTTCGTGTTCTGCGTGATGTTGTCCCTTTGGATATATATGATATATTGCTGCGTTGGCTACTGCTCAACCATCCCGAACCTGGCGTACGGTTCGGCCCGCACACGCGAGGGTGATGCTGCGGTGGACGGTCAGGACTTGTCTCTGGGGGCTTCCAGAGATTTACTGAATAATGAGAACGATTTGGACAGCAGAGGAGACGAGTGGGATGAAGTCAGAGGCGAGGCCAGGGCGCTGGATGATGATGAGGATGATGATGCCTGGTCCAGTTTCCTCAATGAGACGGAAAGTAAAAAGTTGCCCCAAGCGATCATCATCGGTGTGAAGAAAGGAGGAACCCGGGCACTGCTGGAGTTCCTGCGCCTGCACCCGGACATCAGGGCGGCGGGAGCGGAGCCGCACTTCTTCGACCGCAATTACGACAAGGGACTGCCCTGGTACAGGTAGCCACCACGGGAATACTGTTCTGATTGATGCAGCAAAGATAGATGATTGATCATTACCCAAATCTGAGACGTTATAACACCTGATGACATCCATGACTTCAGCAGAACCGCTTGGTCATATTTCCTGGAAGTGATTTGATTTGAAGTTCCAGGAAAACATAAATGCTGACAGTTTAATGCACCTTCCAGCCTCACTTGATCCGCTCTCATTAGCTCATATTTTAATCACAACCCAGAAAACAGCATAAAGTTCAAAGATTCATTTCAAACATCATGCATCTGTAATTAAAATATGTTTATTCTTCAAAGTTTACATGGGCTATTAAACTATTTCAGCAAGTGTTACTCCAAAGTCTTGTAACAGCGTGCATCAAGTTATGGCCATAGAAAAGATGTGAAATAATATAAATATTCTAAATGACAGTAACAAGATCTATGCACACACTCAAGGGTGCATTTCTGTCAAATCTATGTTCCTTATACTACAAATTAAACAGAATTTTTTTATTTCACACATCCAATTTTTTTAAAAGGACAATACATTTAATAAACATGATCTCAGAAATGTAACAAAATACCTAATAAAAATCGTAGATTTTACATGTTTTTATGAAAACAACACTGAAAAACTCAGCATCATAATAAAACTGACGGAAGTGGAGCACGGGTGATGTGATTGTCTGGATTATTCCACAAGCTCATTAATTTAACATCATGAAAAAACACAGTGGCACTTTATTGCAACAAGTCTTAGTAAAAACCCTAATTTTCCAGTTTATCCAGAAATTTCGTGCAACTCTGATCAGTCATGTTCCTTTTCAAATGGCACTGGGATTTGTTTTTCTTATTTTTTCAAACCTCCGTCCCTGAATAGACTCTCGATGGGTCACTAGGTTCTGACCTGGATGCTGCTTAAACAACATTGGTTGATGATACCAAATGAACAAGTTACATAATGGTGTCATACGCAGAGGAGATTCAAGGAGTATCTAGTAGCTATTGATTCAGTTGCAGTGGTTGCTTTAGATCTTCAGTCCAAACAAGTATCAATGTCAAAAAGAGGTGTCTGGGATATGCAGTTACTTGTATGTTGTGTAATATAACATTTTTATTCCCTGTCATGGCAACAAGTGTCCTTGTGCTGAGCGCCTCTATGCAAACCCCTTGACAAAGCTGCACAATCACAAAACTTTCCACTCACATTGAAAGATGAATTACACATGAAAATCAATTCCTGGAAAAATATTGATATTTTGCACTCCCAACACCTTCCTGGAAACATTTTCTATGATATACATGAGAGGAGCCACAGTATTATTAACCCTCTGGAGGCAGGCGTTGCAGATGTGCAACGTTAAAACCTACCTGGTTACTCCACATATGTATTTCATGAGCATTTTTTAACTCAGAAGTACCCCTGAAGGACTTAGTTGTTCGTCATTTTCTCAAAACTTATTTTGAGTCGGAGAGGTTTAAAATAAGGAGTGAATCCACTAATTCTGATCTCCATTTGACAGAGCCAAGCCATCCTCTCAAAGCCTACACGCTAACAGCCTTTTAAATAAACAAAGTGAGTTCAAATAACCTGTTTCCCTGAAAAGTTGCACTAACTAACTTGTATGAAGTTCATCTTACTCAAAAGTGAAACACTTTTAGTAAGTTTCTTGTAGGGGGTGACTTGCTCTTTAAAGAAGTGATCTAGCTAATTAAGTAACTTCAGGTGCAGCTCCAAAACATCCTGGCTTTAGCTCTTTGGTCAACATGCAGATATATTCACCGATTTGTTTCCCCATATGTTTCACTTCAGTGGCCTCAAACTAAAGATGAGCAGTCGTTCGGTGGGTGGGCTCATCTTTGAGCTGCGATTGGTGAATCCTTTATGCTGGAGGTCCGCTGTGTCTTATCATGCGGAGCCCCAAAAAGACGATAGTCTCTCACACAGCAGGATGCCAGCCACATTATTGCATGTTTTCAACCCCTGCCAGATAAAAAGGAGATGCAGATAGACGATTGTATACAGAGCACAAGAGGCAACTCCCAAAAGTCATGGGAATGGCTTCTTCTGTGGCCTCGCCTTTCTTCATCCGTAACACAATTCTAACTTCCTCCCATTCTTTTTTTTTAGACAGATTAACGAGTCATCTCCCAAAATGAGACTCAGCTGAAGTTCCTCTGGGCTCCATACAGTCGATGTGACTTAATTGCTGTAATCATGTTTTTCCTCTTGAGGTTCCACATAAAGAACAAAGAGGAGCTTTCTAACAAACTCGCTGAGGGTGTCAAAGAAAACGGCCTAATCCTCCGCAGAGCCCTGGGGGAGCTTAGTTTGAGCCAGTGGCAGATAGAGGGCAGTAAATTTAAAGTGAGCCTTTTCAGACCGTCGCAGTGTGGCGTAGGAGGAAAAGGGGAGGCTAGAGAACCCCCAAGGACCGCATTAACCCTGGAAAGAAAAGAGCAGACAATTAGTGTAAAACACGTTTTCTCTGCCTTCACTTTGTATGCAAATGGGCTCATGAGGTTGAAAGTGCCCTTTGACGATGCCCAGCAGGAGTTCTTCAGAAAAAAAGCAGTTAATGGAAGCTGCTTCCCCCAAAAATAAAGACACAAACTACGTTGAAGCTTTGTAAGCCTGAAAGTTGACTTTTAGGGGAAAACTGTGTGAAGACTTGGCTGGGTTTGTGTCCAGTTGTGTCTGTTTTTTGCTTACTTGACACTTTTAGCAGCAGACACATTAAACGGCTTCTGATGAAGCCTCCCTCTGTCTAAATGTGTGTGTCAGCAGCACTCTGAAAGGAAAAGATGGGAGAATAGCGTAGATAATGAGATGCTCCACAGAATCATTGTTCTTTAAAACACACATCATCACAAATCTCACCAAAGCTCTCACATCCTTTTAGATTCGGTCCTTTGTCAGGTTGGTATTTCTACTAGCAATCGTTTACTTTCCCTCACTATTGTTTTTGAAGGATTTGACTTTAAATGCAGTGTAACAACTTATCCTAAAGTCAAACTGCAGCCCTTTTATAGCTGCTCTATGGAATCACTGAAACCAAACAAGCTCTCTATTATCTCCTCTTGAGTTGTCGACTGCTTTATCTCCCTCTTTTGTACAATCTTCAGAGGGAATTTGTTTCCTGCCTCAGTCGTTTTCTCTGCTGCACAGAGAGTCAGAGCATCTTGAGAAAGAGCCGGTGGGTTCTAGCCTTCTCGGTTTTGATTTTTTGAAGTCTTGTTTATTTTTGTGATCTCCTCCGACCCTCCTGCATCTGTGAGGAGTTACTTAATGAGTCCAGACCACTACATAATTTGGAAACATACATGTAAAGTATTATATTCTTTTTATGTTTAATGGAAATGGTGAAATCACAGATTCTAATATTTAGGGAAAAAATGATTTGAATAATGGAAAATGTTTTGGATAAACCAGCTTTTCTGGCTTAATAGAGATCTGAAAACGTTTGTTATATGTTTTAGTTTGTTGCTTTCAGATAAGCTAAACCAGCCAGTCTTGCAGTGATTTTGGAAAAAAAATCTAAATGTTATTGTGAATTAGCAGCTGCAGAAGGAAGAAGTCCAACAAAACAACAAGGCTTGTGATCACATGTGATTTTGCGTTGCATTCTGGGACATGGTGGATGTGTCGGTAGTGTCACGAGTGTAAACTAACTGTCAAAATAGACAGTGCATCTCAGAGAAGAAGCATATTTGGGTGCAGAAAACACACTCTCATCCAGACCGGGATACTCGGGAGAGAGATGTTTGGTCACCTTACAGCTGTGATCCAAGCAAGCTGACCAGATTTAGTCTCTGTGGGTATGCCTCCAAGCAGGAAAAAGGTGAAATATTAGCCCGCTTTTCAGTTTGGTGTACCTGTTCTGTGTGCGCACAAAGCAGTACAAGTGATAATGCTGCTGGAATTCATCATTTTATCCTCCTCAGCAAAAGCACTGCAGGTGCTCTCCATGTCCAACATGTACATAAGCCAGGTCCTTAGTCAACTTAAAGTTGAGCACATTTTTCTGCTACGTTTTCTGTTCTAAATCCCAAGGTTTGCGTGTAAAATATCTTACGCAGTTTTCCGACCCCGTTTTGTGCGTAAGCAAGCTTGATAAATGAGGTCCCTGTTCATTAAGCCAAAAAGTTTCCTTCATAAGGAACCCAGCAAATTGCACTGAACCACTGACTAGTGTCAGAGTCTTTACAGCAATGCTCATACTAAGCAAGCATGCAGTGACAGTGGAGAGGAAAACTCCCTTTTAACAGGAAGAAACCTCCAGAGAATCCTGGCTCAGTATAAGCAGCCATCTGCTATGACTCACTGTGGATGGAGAACACACACACGCACACACACACACACACACACACACACACACACACACACACACACACACACACACACACACACACACACACACACACACACACACACATAAAGTAGTGTCGCTAAGGCTACATTGCGATTTCTTAGTACATATTCTATTTAATAAGAGATTAAGTTTATCATCTTTATAATGAATCTATAATTAATTCAGTGGGTAAACTAGTAGTAGCACGTTCAATGTCAAAGAAAGTAAGATGTTATTATCAGGAGAGGGAGAATGTTGAAGTGGTTAGCAGCAGTGTGCTAGCCGATGGCCCCCTCCATGAGGGGGCAAAAAAAATATACAGCTGAAATAGCAGGAAATAATGCAGGCAGGGAAAGGGAGTGTCTTCTTTATCAACTGTACACTCCACCTCCCTCTACTCCCCAACTTGTCCAGATCTGGGCTAACAGATTTTAACTATAGGCCCTTTCAAATAAAAATGTTTTAAGCCTAAACTTAAAAGTAGACAAGGTGTCTGCCTCACAGATTAAAGCTGGGAGTTGGTTCCACAAGAGAGGAGCCTGATAGCTAAAAGATCTGCCTCCCATCCCATTTTTAGATATTCTGGGAACCTCCAGTAAACTGGCAGTCTGAGAGCGAAGTGCTCGGTTAGGAACGTATGGAACAATCTGG